ACAGCCAATGCACTCGAGGAGGGGGGGAGGGGGGGAGGGGGCAGGGGAGAGCAAGTTTTCTGTGGTTTTGTGTTTTAATGTTTTTTTGGTAGTTTCATCTTTTTTTTCATAATTTTGTCTTTCTCTCTCTCTCTCTTGCTTTCTCTCTCTCTTTCTCTCTCTCTCTCTTGCTTTCTCTCTCTCTTTCTCTCTCTCTCTCTCTCATGGTTTCTCACTCTATTTCTCTCTCTCTCTCTCTCTCTCTCTCTCTCTCTCTCTCTCTCTCTCTCTCTCTCTCTCCTTTCTCTCTCTCTCTCTCTCTCTCTCTCTCTCTCTCTCTCTCTCTCTCTCTCTCTCTCTCTCTCTCTCTCTCTCTCTCTCTCTCTCTCTCTCTCTCTCTCTCTCTCTCTCTCCTCTCTCTCTCTCTCTCTCTCCCTCTCTCTCCCCTCTCTCTCTCCTCTCTCTCCCTCTCTCTCCCCTCCCCTCCCCTCCCCTCCCCTCCCCTCCCCTCCCCTCCCCTCCCTCTTCCTTCCCGCCTGTCTAATGGCTCAGCCGATAACAGCCGATAAGGCTAATCTGCCCGATGTCTTTGGGCCCGATAAGAGCTTCAAACGATGACATAACAGGCAAAACAAGCGACGTTCTCGACGCAGAAAAGCGGCCGTAAACTATGATAATGGCCAAGTGAATAATAACATTATTGTTAGCGGTATCTGTAACACCTCATTATCAAGGCCGCGCGCGCATGCTCTCAGGCACGAAAGCCCGTCCGCCCGCACGCCCGCCGTAGCGACACGGTGACGAGGAGTCGCTTGAAGTATGTCTCGAGGCCCTGGCCTTTGTAGACCGCCCTCGACTCTCCCTCTCGCCTCCGCTCTCCTCATTCTCTCCTCCTCCTTTCTCGTCTCCGCTGACACCCCCCCTCCTCCTCCTTCCCCTCTTATCTGCTCCGTCCCTCTCCCTCTCCCTCTCCCTCTCTCCCTCTAACTCTCTCCCTCTCTCCTTCTCTCCTTCGTCTCCTTTTCCCTCCTCTTCTCTCCCCTCCTCTTCTCCTCACCCCCCCTCTCTTTTTCCCTCCCCTCCCCTCCCTTCTCCTTATCCTCCTCCCTCTTTCCTTCCCCTTCCCCTCCTCCCCATCCTTCCTCCCCCCCCCCCTCCCCTCTCGACTTCAGTAGGCTCTCATTTTCAGGCTTGGTCGTCGGAGGCGAAGCTACAAAGGCGGGACTTGCCTTTGATGGGGAGATCACTTGCTCTCCAGCGCCCCTCCTCCTCCTCCTCAGCCTCCTCCTCCTCCTTATACTTCTCCTTCTCTTTCTCCTCCTAGTCCTCATTTTTCTCTTCCTCGTTCTCTTTATCCTTAGCGCTCCTCTTGCGCCTCTTCCTCCCTTCTTCTTTCCCTCCTTCTCCTTCTCCTTAGCGCTCCACTTCCTCTTCTTCCTCTTCTGCCACCACACCCTTCTCTTTAGCGTTCCTCCTCCTCCTCCTCCTTTTCCTTCTTCTTCTTAGCGCTCCTCCATCTCCTGCTTCAGCCTCGACTACTCTCTTTGATTCTCTCTCTCTCTCTCTCTCTCTCTCTCTTCCTCTCTCTCTCTCTCTCTCTCTCTCTCTCTCTCTCTCTCATCTCTCTCTCTCCCTCACTCTATGATAATGGCCAAGTGAATAATAACATTATTGTTAGCGGTATCTGTAACACCTCATTATCAAGGCCGCGCGCGCATGCTCTCAGGCACGAAAGCCCGTCCGCCCGCACGCCCGCCGTAGCGACACGGTGACGAGGAGTCGCTTGAAGTATGTCTCGAGGCCCTGGCCTTTGTAGACCGCCCTCGACTCTCCCTCTCGCCTCCGCTCTCCTCATTCTCTCCTCCTCCTTTCTCGTCTCCGCTGACACCCCCCCTCCTCCTCCTTCCCCTCTTATCTGCTCCGTCCCTCTCCCTCTCCCTCTCCCTCTCTCCTTCTCTCCTTCGTCTCCTTTTCCCTCCTCTTCTCTCCCCTCCTCTTCTCCTCACCCCCCCTCTCTTTTTCCCTCCCCCTCCCCTCCCCTTCTCCTTATCCTCCTCCCTCTTTCCTTCCCCTTCCCCTCCTCCCCATCCTTCCTCCCCCCCCCCCCTCCCCTCTCGACTTCAGTAGGCTCTCATTTTCAGGCTTGGTCGTCGGAGGCGAAGCTACAAAGGCGGGACTTGCCTTTGATGGGGAGATCACTTGCTCTCCAGCGCCCCTCCTCCTCCTCCGCCTCTTCCTCCTCCTTATACTTCTCCTTCTCTTTCTCCTCCTAGTCCTCATTTTTCTCTGCCTCATTCTCTTTATCCTTAGCGCTCCTCTTGCGCCTCTTCCTCCTTCTTCTTTCCCTCCTTCTCTTTCTCCTTAGCGCTCCACTTCCTCTTCTTCCTCTTCTGCCACCACACCCTTCTCTTTAGCGTTCCTCCTCCTCCTCCTCCTTTTCTTTCTTCTTCTTAGCGCTCCTCCATCTCCTGCTTCAGCCTCGACTACTCTCTTTGATTCTCTCTCTCTCTCTCTCTCTCTCTCTCTCTCTCTCTCTCTCTCTCTCTCTCTCTCTCTCTCTCTCTCTCTCTCTCTCTCTCTCTCTCTCTCTCTCTCTCTCTCTCCTCTCTCTCTCTCTCTCTCTCTCTCTCTCTCTCTCTCTCATTCTCTCCCGAACCCTTTCCAACCCCCTCCCTTCCTTCTCTCTCTCTCTCTCTCTCTCTCTCCCTCCCTCCCTCCCTCCCTCCCTCCCTCCCTCCCTCCCTCCCTCCCTCCCTCCCCCCCCTCTCCTTCTCCTTTCTCTGTGTCTCCATCCTTCGACCTGCCAATCAGCCAATGCGTCCATCTCATTGCAAAGTCCCTTCCTCTTCCTCCCCGTAGCTGTGGTGTTGTTCTCCCCCTCCCCCCCTTCCCTTCCTCCCTCCTCCCTACCCATGGCCCCCCATCACTCCCTCCCCCACCATCCCCTTACCACCCTCCCCCTCCTCTCCCTCCCCTCCCCTTCCCCCCTTCCCCCCTCCTGGGCATGAGGCCCTGGCGACTGTCCTAGTAATTAGACTTCGCAGTTTTGAATTATTCATGAGGCCAGAAGGAAATTTTTAATGAACGCCGTGCTGAGAGTGAGGGGGGGAGGGAGGGAGGAGAGGGAGGGGAGGAGAGGGAGGGGAGGAGGTAAGGAATAGAGGGTGGTAGGTAGGTAGATGGGTAGGTAAGAAATGGAGGGTGGAAAGGAGGGTGGGAGGAAGGGAGGGGGGGGGGTGTCCGCTTGGTAGGAAGTAGAAGGTAGAGGGTAGGAAGGGAAAGAGGAGGAAAGGAAGGAAGGAGAATAGTAAAGTAGGGGTAAGGGAAGGGAAGAAGAGAAGGACAGGCAGTGGATAGGGGGAAGGGAAGGGAAAGGGAAGGGAAGGGAAAGGGAAAGGGAGGAGGAGGAGGACAGTGAATAGAAGGAAAGGGAAAGCGTGCCGGGGAGGGCCAGCTGACCGACATGTGCATGACTCCCGAGGCCAGCTGGCGCGAGTGCATGGCGTGCCGAGTGCGAGCGGGACTGCCGGGGAAAAAGCGCCTTTTACGAGATTCTACGGAAGCTCCGTTTTTTATGGGTCTCGTTATTGTTGTTATTACTTTCATCATCATTATCATCATGCCATTATTTTCATTGTTGTTTTTGTTGTAGATGTTGCTGCTGTTATTATTACCTCTTTGTTATTTTTGTTGTTATTGTTCTTGTTGCTGTTATTATCAATATTATTATTAATATTGTTATTATAATTATTATTATTATTATTATTATTATTATTATTGTTATTATTATTGTGATTATTATTATTATTATCATTATTATTATTACTATTATTATTACTATTATTATTACTATTACTAATATACCTTATTTTATGTCATTCCTTTTCTCTCCATGATCATTCTACGCAAGATGAAATGATAACGTTTCTCTTTTTCCTTCCGCAGGTGAGTCTCGCCGCCGCACGAGAGATAAGAGAGCGGGCGTAAGTAAAGGTCGGAACTTGCTTGCAGAGATAAGGAAGGTAAAGGTATATATATATATCTCCTTCCTTAATCATTTGCGGTTGATTATCTCGCGTTTTGTCGACGCCAGGTGTTTTGTTCAGTTGATGCATGGATTAACGTTATTCAAATTAGGAGAGCAATTTTATATTTCGCTGAATGATTTAAAGAATTATGGAACGGAGTGTGTATATAAATATACATACATTCATATATATATATATATATATATATATATATATATATATATATATATATATATATATATATATATATATATATATGTATATATACACACACACACACACACACCCATGCACGTGTATATATACATGTACATGTGTGTGTGTGTGTGTGTATCTGTGTCTGTGCTTGTGTGTGCATTCATATATTAACATATAGTGTATTAGTATAGTTACTGAATTTTATAGTCCTATTCTGTAATCCCCTCACGTGCGTGTGTAGGTGTGTGTTTGTGATATTTGCTGGAGATAAGATAAAAATAGCCATATCAACAGAGAGCCTTTGCTCTAGAAAAGAAAATATTAAGAAAGAAAGGGACTGACCGCATGGAGATCGTAGTATTTAATAATAAGTTTTAAAAATAACTTTGCAGGTGAATTTAGACATTTTAAAAGCGACGGTGGAACGACAAAACTTGAAAAAATTAAAAGGCCCAAAATGATATTGAGATTCAGTGAACATTTAGCCGGGATACGAATAAAGGATAAATAGGGAGGAAAAAAAACATGAGGAGAAATGCAATAAGTAGGGTAGATAACCAAAATGATAATAAAAGGCCGAACAAGAAATCATGGTATTATTGGAGAAAAGCCTAAACATAAAATCCAGGGAAACTAACCTTACAGTCGTGAAGTTTTTTAATTTTCTAAACTTTTTCTTAAATAATCTTATCTCGCAATCGAATCATAAACAAGCTATTTAATTTTGAAAATAATAGACAATTAACTGAAATATATCGTAACTCTTAGCAAATAGTCCAGTAACTTCAATATTAGAGAAATTAATGAAAAATATAAATCAGATGATATAGGAACTCAGTACATAGCCAAGTGGCTAAATATAAAGGAGAATAAGAAAAAGATGATATTGGAAATCAGTAAGTAGTTGAGTCGGTTCATTGCAGACTGCAAGCCGTATTTTTGCGAGCGAGAGACACGCCCCTCGAGTTCGCTGCACTAAAAGGGCGATCACACTAGTCTCTTCTGCCCGGGGATCCCTTTACAGAGCAGGATGCTTCCCCAGCTGTGAGAGGAAGCGAGGTGAAAATCCTTTCCTTGTGTTGGTCTTTCGCCCCAGCTAGAGAGCGAAAGCTGATGCCAAAACAAGAACTATAGTATAAGTAAAGTTTATTACTTGATTGTCCAAACAATGAATATTATATATAATTAGGTATAATTGTACTGTGGAAATAAGTAATATGTATTAGAACTAACAATGATGCTTCACTAAGATTTTCAAGATTGCCCAGACAGCCGTTCATTTGACCAGCGAATGCAAACACACACCCACTCCGACAGCTGGAGACACGGAGCTCACTTCAGGCATTATTTACACTCTGGTGGACTAAGCGAGAAGCAATTATGGAATACCGTTAACAAATATCAAGATGGTAGAAAGTTAAAACTAACAATAATGGACGAAATTAACAAAGAAGCTTAGCTTTGCACAGGTGTGATCGTACGGCTGGCATGGATGTGTCACGATCGGGAATTACTAGTATTTCGCTCGATTTCAGTTATAGTATTTTCTCCCAACTGTTTCCATTACGGTGTCACGTTCCCTTCCTCTCTCTGCTTCTCTTTCTCTTTCTTCTTCATTTTCTTTCTCTTCCTTAACCGCTCCAACGTCCCGGTGTCACGGCGGGAGTGAGTGGGCGGGGCCTTCGCTGTAGAAGGAGCCCCTGCGCCGAGGACTTTACGTGCTTGGTTTGTTGTTTATTCTGTTCTCGCTTTTCCTCACTCTTCTCTGCCCTTGCTCTTCTTCCAACCTTTTTATTCGGGTGGGGGGGGGGGGGATTGCAATGGGTCGAGATTCGAGTGTAAACCCCTTTTTATTCTGTTCCTGTCATCTTTTTTTCTTCTTTTCCTGTTCCATTTATTCTTTTACTTCTTTTCCTGTTCCATCCGTTCCTCTTCCTCCTCCTCCTCTTCCTATTTCCTCCTCCTCCTCTTCTCCACCTAGAAATCGCGAAATTTCGAGACAGCGCGAAGTGGCGACGGAGAGGCGTAGCGGGCGGCCGGTGTGTGTAGGTGTGTGCGTGTGTGTGTGTGTTTTCGCGCTGTCGTTGACCCTCGTCAATCGTAGCGGTGGCGTTGTTAGCGGCGGTGGCGGTGGCGGAGAAGGCGGTATCGGTGGAGATGGCGGTGGCGGCGGTGGCGATAGTGGCGGCGGCGGTGGCGGGGAAATCGCGGCGGTTTTAATTTACGCTGCTTTTATTTCCTCCTTTATCGGAGTGGTTCGGGATTGATAGGGTTCTTTTTCTGTTGTTTTCTAACTTAACCCTCGTGGTATCTTTCTTATATTTGGGCTAATAATGGCGGCGAGAAGCGTAGTAATTCGGTATTAATGATATCCTTATTTTGCTCTCTATAGATTTATGTTCTTATTTTTTTGTTACCTTGTTTTGTATTTTCTTTGCGCAAGAAGGGGGGGGAGGAGATGGATTGAAAGTGAGGGAGGATAAGATGATTGAGAATGGTGGTGTGTGTGGGGGGGGGGGTTATAGCACTTCCACACCCCACCGTCACCCCCCTCACCCCCCACTCTCATAACTGTAGAGGGGTTTACTTTGTCACATTTCGCCGAGGAATGTCGCGCTTGGGTGTCGGTCCTCGCGAGGGGGGGCGGGGGAGGTAGGGGGGAGGGGAGACGGATGGGGGAAGGCGGGGAGACGGCTAAGAGGAGAAGTTGGGGAAGGAGGGGGGAAGGGTAAGGGGAGGAAGGGGGAGAAGGGAAATGGGTGGGGGTGGGGGAGGTGGGGAAGGAGGGAGACGGGAGGGGCAAGATGGGGATGGAGGGAGATGAGGAGGGGAGGAGGGAAACGGGAAAGGAAAGTGGAGGAAGAGAGGAAAAAGATGACGTAAAGGAATTAGAAGACAGGAAAAGGAGGAGAAGAAGAAAGAGAGAGAGAAAAAAAAACAACCATATGAGAAAACCGACGCGACGCACGCACACACTCATTCCCTCACAAGAAAGAAACACCGTGGTAATTAATCGCCGGAAGACAATTGCCGTCCGCCATATTAACACCAAGAATCGGCTCATCTGTTGCCACGGCACTTTCCTCTCGTTACGGCGACGCGTGGCAATGACTCGCCTCTGTGGCCGCCGCCGACAGGGAACCCCAAGGCGCCGCCGACGGTTCCCGGGGAAACGTCGGGATTCGTGCAGTTTATTTCGGTTCTCTCAAGTTTCTCGCGGGTTTCTAACGTTTCTCTTTTCTTTTCGACGGTTTCTAAAGTTTCTCTTAGTTCTCTTCAGTTTCGTGCGAATTTCTAAAGTTTCTTTTAGTTCTCTTCAGTTTCTTCCAGGTCTCTAAATTTCTTTCGGGTTTCTAAAGTTTCTGTTAGTTCTCTACAGTTTCTTTTAGTTCTTTAGTTTCTTTCGTTTTTTTGAAGTTTATTTCAGTTCTCAAAAAAAAAAAATCTGTTCTCTTGAGTTTCTTTCAGGTCTCTAAGGTTTCAGTTCTCTAAGGTTTTACTTAAAGGGTTTCATTGGTTTAAGCGAGGGGACGTAACGGGAGCTTGTGAGTGGCTGTGACGTGGGAGGGAGGGAGGGGGGGGAAGGAAGGAGGGGGGCTTGTATTTCCTCTTCCTTCCTTATTCTTTTGCCTTTTCCTCTTCTCCTCTCCCATTCCCACTCCTCTCCTCCTCTTCCCTCTCCTTCCCTCTTCTTCCCTTTCCTTCCCTAACTTCTCCTTCCCTTTCCTACTCTTCCCTCTTCTACCGTCCCCTCCCCTCCCCTCCCCTCCTCTTCCCTTCCCTCCCCTCCTCTTCCCTTCCCTCCCCTCCCCTCCCCTCCCCTCCCCTCCCCTCCCCTCCCCTCCCCTCCCTGCCCTCCCTTCTCTACACCCTTCGGGGGTCATGATAGCGACTTTGTTATGAGTTATGGCGTGGCAAAGTAGGCTTAGGAAGGAGGGGGAGGGGGGAGGGGGGGAGGGGTTTCGTGTGGTTTCTATTTTTCCTTCGCTTTCTCTCCTGATTTTTTGCTTCTTTCTTTCTTTTCTTTTCGTCCTCTTCATGTCTCTCCTCGTCCTTGTTCCTCTCCTATCAACTCTCCTATTCTTTTTTCTTTCTCGTTCTCTTTCCTCATTCATCTCTTTTTCAGTTCTCCTCGTTCTCTTCCTTGTTTGCCCTATTCCCTCTCCTCTTTTCTCCCTTCTCCCTCCCTCTTTGTCTCTCCTCCTTTTTTGTCCTTCTCTCAATCCACCTTATTCTTCTTTTCTTCCTTCCTTCTCCCTCTTCTCTACCCATCTCCCCTTTCTCCTTCCCTCTCCCTCTTCTTCTGTTTCTTCCACTTCTCCTTCTTCTTCTTCCTCCTCTCTTTCTGTTTCTCCCACTCTCCTTCCTTCTCCCACTCCTTCTCCTTCTCCTTCTTCCCTCCTCCGTTCTCCTTCCCTCCTCCTCCCCCCTCTTCCTTCCCCCTTTCATCCCCTCCTTCCCCCTTACCCCCCCCCCCTTCCCCTCCCCCTCGTAGAACCGCCCCATTGTGCGGTTGCGCTAATGGGCGAGGTAACGAGGCAGCACTCCAACCACCGCCATTGTTTTGGGCGGCCTGAAGGGCATGGCGGGCTAGGGGGGGGAGGGGGAGGGGGAAGGGGAAGAGGGAGAGGGAGGGGGAGAGAGGGAGAGGGAGAGAGGGAGAGGGGGAGAGAGGGAGAGGGAGAGGGAGGGGGAGAGAGGGAGAGGGAGAGGGAGGGGGAGGGAGAGGGAGGGGGAGAGGGAGGGAGCATAGGGGGTTCAGGGATTATGGGTAAATGTGGGGTAGGAGTGGGGGGTTGGTGGTAGGGGGGGTGGGGGTAGGCCGTAGGGTGGTTTGTAGTGGGGAAGGGAGGGGGTGGGGGTGGGGGGGTTCGAGTCACACAGGTAAATGTGTGGAACATCGTGGAACAAACGGGGAGGGGGGAGGGAAGGGATGGGGGGAGGGGGGAAGGGTGAATAGAGGGATTATATACCTTATAGGGGCAGTTAAAAAATCTCTTTGCCAGGATGTGCTGTTTAACAACGTGGAGGGGGGGGGGAGAAGGGGGGAGGAGGGGAGGTGGGAGAAAGCAGAAGAGAGTGAGAAGCAGGGAATTACAGAGACGGAAAGAGGAAGAAGGAGAGAGAGGAAGAAGGAAAGGGAGTGTGTGGAGAGGAAGTGGGAGAAAGCAGAAGATAGTTAAAGACAGGGAAATACATGGACGGAAAGTGGAGGAAGGAGAAGGGGAAGGAAAGAGAGGAAGGAGAAAGTGGAAGAAGAAGGAGAGAGGAATAAGGAGAGAAGAAGAAGGAGAGAGAGGAACAAGGAGAGAAGGTGAAGGAGAGAGAGGAACAAGGAGAGAAGAAGAAGAAGAAGAAGGGAGAAGGAGAGAGGCGGGATGAATGTGTATGAATGCTATAGATTTCGAGAGAGCTTAGAGCCGTTTGAGTTTAACATGTTTGTGGGACGGACGGAGGCGAGAGCGCGCTTGAATGCGGGACTGTGTTCTGTAATCAACAATGAGAGAGAGACGGAGTGGGGAGGAGGGAGAGGGAGAGGGAGGTAGGGAGGAGGGAGAGGGAGGGAGGAAGGGAGGAGGGAGAGGGAGGGAGGGAGGGAGGGAGAGGGAGAGGAGGGAGGAAGGGAGGAGGGAAAGGGAGGGAGGAAGGAGGAGGGAGAGGGAGGAAGGGAGAGGGAGGGAGGAGGGAGAGGGATGGAGGAAGGGAGGAGGGAGAGGGAGGGAGAAGGGAGGAGGGAAAGGGAGGGAGGAAGGAGGGAGAGGGAGGAAGGGAGGAGGAGGGAGGAGGGAGAGGGAGGAGGAAGGAAGGAGGGATAGGGAGGGGGAGGGAGGGAGGGGAGGGAGAGGGAGGAGGAAGGGAGGAGGGAGAGGGAGAGGGAGGGGAGAGGGAGGGAGAAGGGAGGAGGGAAAGGGAGGGAGGAAGGGAGGGAGGGGGAGAGGGAGGGGGAGGGAGGAAGGGAGGGAGAGGGAGGAAGGGAGAGGGAGGGAGGAGGGAGAGGGAGGGAGGAAGGGAGAGGGAGAGGGAGGGAGAGGGAGGGAGGAGGGAGAGGGAGGGAGGAGGAAGGGAGGGAGAGGGAGAGGGAGGGAGGAGGGAGAGGGAGGGAGGAAGGAGAGGAAGGGAGGAGGGAGAGGGAG